AGGTTAAGCAGATTGTAGTTTGAAGTGGGTCGAGTCAGACACTTTGCATATTTTTTCAGTCAAAGTTATTAAGTTTAGCATATAAATAATCAAAATGGAAAGTGATCAAAAGCATCTAACAGCCTTAACCAATATCCCGCCCAAGTCTACTTCATCTGAGAGTAGTTCATCTGAATCAAACTCATCCGAGTCTGGCTCATCATCTGAGACTAGTTCATCCGAATCTAGTTTGTCATCTGGTAGTTCGACTGAATCTAGTTCCTCATCCGAGACTAGCTCATCTGAATCTGGTTCATCTGATTCTGATATTGATGAAATAGTAAAGATGATTAAGCATCAAAGGATTCGGAAACAGATCTAGAAGCGTCAAGCCCAAAGGAAAGATCAGGAGAAAAATACATATAATAAAAATAAGGTAATTAGCTATCCGATAAATGGGAGTCCAGAGCGATGATAGAGGTTTATTTTTTATTTTGAATATTATATACCATAATAAAAATGATTATTGTGAATTGTATAGTCAAAGAAAATATCCTTGTTAAGGCATCAATCGATACGTCCACTGATGTAAATTACATTAGCCAAAAACATATTGGTGAATTAGGAATTACATATCACAGTGAAAGCAATAGAATTGTAACTCCAGATACATCCTATTCCACATTAGGAAAGGTCAATCTGCATATCGGCTTTAATGATGGTGAGAAATATAAAACCACACCCAGTGAATTCATAGTTGCTGGACCAGATTGGCCTGATTATTTTCCTGACTTAGTATTGGGAATGCCATGGTTACAAGAAAATGGTGTAAATTTTGATATGCATAATTCATTACTAACTATAGATGATAATTTTACGATCCCATTCGAAAAAGTAGACTATATTTCAACATTATCTGATAGTCAAATCCGAACTATGACTGATTTTTCCAGTCCAACCTATAGTCCGGAGTGATCGTGTATTACTAGCCTTATTTTTTCCGATCGAAAAGTATTCTAACTATATAAATAAAACAATGCATACAGACAATTTACTTGATCTTCTTCCGCCGGAGATAATATCATTTATTCTAAAGTATCTTCCAGAACAGGAACTAAAGAATTCTCGCAGTATAAATGATATATGGGAAAGAGAAGTGAATCATGAACAATCCAAAAGACTGAAATTTTTATTTTGGGGAATAGTTCAAGGCAATTATACGGTAAAGGAATATTATTTGAAACTGAAAGAGTGGAATTTAAGCAAAGACTATCCAGAATGGCTTCTTAAAAATCTATTCTTCAGAGAATTATCACCTGAAGATATATTAAAAGTTCGTTTGGATGGGTTACAAGCACTTGCGTTAGATGACATAGTGGAAAGGCTTAGTCTGGAGCAGTAATTTACCAGTGAACTAGGCTCGGCTAATTTTATTTTTTCGTTTAAATATACAACATATAACATGCACTATGTATGGCGCAATCAAGCATCTTTTATTTACCAGAACTATTAGAACAGATTTTACATTTCTTATTGATAGATAAATCCCTCTATCCCGCTCTATATGTATCCCGATTGTGGTGCAGATGCGGTGCCCCTATTCTGTGGAAGCGTATCGAATTGAGAGGGAAAGACTTATATCCTGGACAATCTCTTCCAAATGATTATAAAAATTACTGTGCAAAGGATCACCCTCGATTAAATAAATTCATAAGGATAGAACGTGCAAAGGATCTCTCTCGATTGAAAAAATTCATAAAGTTAGTACGGAGGAAGAAAACGCCAGTTTATTGCTCAAATGTAACTCATCTCGAAGTATCATACTACCATTCACTTTCAGATAAAAAAATCATAAGCATTGTACATTCATGCCCAAATATAACCCACTTGAGTTTCATAAATAGCATAGCATTTAGTAATAGAGCATTAGAACTGATAGCGAGTTCATACCCGAATCTGAAGTATCTCAATCTATGCATTGATCGACCAGGTGGCTTTAGTACTCGAGAAGTAGATGGCAGTGGTCTATGG